AGAAAGGGAAGGAGGAGGAGAAAGTGGGACTCAAGGAGAAAGAGGAAGGCTTTCTCCCTAGGTGGTCAGGCATGGCTTTAACAGGCAGGGTTCACCTATATACTGTGAGCGTCAAGCCCTGTGGAGGGCTCAGTTCCTGAGGCTGGTGTGCCCTGCTTGCCCGCATCTGGGAGCAGTTCCCCTTTCCATGTCTTTCAGCTGTGGTCAACTGCCAATGCCTAAGCCAGGGGTCACTTTTTAGAGGCTCCTGCTCAGTGATAGCTCACTTCAGGTCACCTGCAGGCCCAAGTGCTGGGGGAGGGGTTTGGCTGAGCCTGCACCTGGGATCTCTGCCTTACAGGCCACCCCTGGGACTCTACCCACCTCCCCCCAGGCCCTGGCATGTGCACACTGAGCTACCCAGCTACTCCTCGGTAGTTCTCTTTTCTTGGGTCTGGCTTCTGGCTTCTGGGTTCCTGAGTTCCCAGCCTGCCCTGTTTCCCCCTCTTCAGCCTGTGGTGGGGAAGCTGAGGCTGCAGAAGGGACGAGGAATGGCATCTTCCAGCCGGGGAGCTCTGGGGCGCTGAGGAGATACGAGGCACTGGGAACATTTTGCAGTCTCTGGGGTGAGGCCAAGCAGCGGGGCCCAGCCGCACTGTGGAGGGTTGTCCCAGGGTCTCCAGCAGAGGCTCAGCCCCTGACGCCAGCCCTGGCCATCTGCTCCGGCGTCTGCAGGGTGGCTTGGGGTGCTCTGGGGCCGGGGGCCTCCCTGTTCTCTGCAATTGTCTCTTCATCCTGGAAATGGCCTGCTCCGGCCTCTCCCAGGGCCCTGTGTCCTTCCCTGCAGGAGGAGCAAGAGCTTTAGGAAGGCACTGGCCACAGCAAGAGGGAGCTGGGTCAGACCTCAGGAAGAACTTCAAAGCGGTAGGAAGCGCTACCTGCCTCTGCCTCTTCTCTCAGCCTTTTCTGCTCCAGTTTGGAGATGGTGTCCCTCTTTCCCCCGGGGGAAGCTCTCATGTACACGGGGGCTAGAACTCTTACCCTGAGCAGAGGTTGGTGGTGCAGGTCTATAACTCTAGAACTCTGGGAGGCTGAAGCAGTAGGATCTCGAGTATGAGCATGGCCTGGGTGATTTAGTGACTTGGTGAGGCCCTGTCTCAAAAGAGAAAAATAAGAGGCTGGGGAGATAGCTCAGTAGAATAAGAGCTTGCCTGGAAGCACAAGGGCCTGAGTTCAATCCCTGGCTCTGCAAAAACAAAACAAGAGAGAAAAATAGATAAATAAATAGGGCTAGGGATGTAGCTCAGTGTGAACGCCCTGGATGCAATCTCCAAGTGGTTTTTTTTTTTTTTTTTTTTTTTTTTTTTTTTAAAACAGGGTCTACAAGGTCTCACTGTGTAGATTGGACTTGTAGTGATCCTCCTGTTTATAGCCTTCCAAGTAATCCCAGCACTTGCAAGTCACCACACCCAGTCTCAATCAGGGTCTCAGCACGCCCCGGGGGTGGGGCCAGGGCGGCAGGCCTGGGGTTCAGACTTCCAGCCCCTGCATCTGCCTAAACAGGCGCTTTAATCGGCTGAGCTATTTGGCCAGCCCTACAATCCCCAGTATTTAAAAAAAAATCCCACTCTGCTTACCTCACAGTAGCAGGTCAGCTCCTGCAAAGATTTCAAAAATGGAGGGGCTGGTGAGATGGCTCAGTGGTCTAAAGCACCTACTTAGAACAAGCTTAGCAAAGCACAGGGACCGCGGTTCAATCCCCCAGCACCACATGCCAGTCAGCCCCGCCCCCTGGTGGGCTGAACTGGCCACACACACACAAATAAAATTTTAAAAATAATAAAAGTATTAAAATTAAAAAAAAAGATTTCAAAATGGAACTCACCTCAAATCTCAGAGTCCTTTGACTTCTAGCTAGCCTCTGAGCTCACAGATGGGGAAACCAAGGCTCCCGAGGGGGTGGGGACCCAGGCCATGACCTCCTGGCTTCCGGCACTTTGGTCAGGAAGAGCAGGAAGGGCGAAAGGTGTCCCAGCGGGGCCACAGGGCCATGGTCTCAGGTGACACAGAAGGGTGGCTCAGAAGGGCCAGGCCTTGGCAGGGGCCTGCACACTGACCAAGCCCATAGCCTCAGCCAGCATTTTAAAAAATTAATTATTTATATTCTTTTTTATGTATTTGGTACAAGGTCCAGAGGGTCTCACTACACAGATCGGACTCGTGGTGATTCTCCTGTTTTCACCATCTCAGCGTGCCCTGGGGGCAGGGCTGGCGTGGCATGCTGGGGATCGAACCTGGCTGCTGCACTCTGCCTAAGCAGGCGCTTTAGTCCGCTGAGCTATCTGGCCGGCTCAGCATTTCTTTTTTGAACCCCTGAAAAATATAGCCTGAGGGACGCAGCTGCTGGAGGAGGGGGCGCACAGGATAATTCTGGTCGGAGCTGAGGAAACCAGGGGCCCAGCCCGCATGCACTCTGTCAGCTCCGCTCTCAGCCCTGCTTGTGTCACAGTCCTGCTTCTGTCTAGGGGTCCACCATAGGACGCTAAAGGTTGTGTTCTGTGCTGGGAGCCGCGTGGTCCCCACTTATGGGCACTGAATGGGCCCCGCAGGGGCTGTGCACGTGTGTCTTACACCCTTCTCACTGACCACAGCTTGTGCAGTGCTGGACTCTGAGTGAGCTGGAAGCAGGTCCCCTAGCTTCTGGGCCCACTCGGCCTCAGGACGGGCTGTGTCCTTGCCCAAGTCGTGGCTGGCTGGATGTGTGCTCCCTGCAGGGGCAGGAGGCCAATGGCCTCCAACAGGCGATCTAGGCACCCTGGTGCCCCAAGGAGCAGCCTCTCCAAGGAGGACTGGAGTCCCCACAAACCTGACAGATGCGTGGCCAGCATGGCTTTCCCTCCTGTCTCTGGAGAACACCTCCTGTCAGGGCCCAAATGGCCCGGGTGTGTGCACCGCTCGGGGGTCAGGTCACACTCAGGGCTGTGGGCATGTGGGGTGGTGTCTCAGGGTTGGTTGCACATGCGCACACAAAAGGCACAAATGAATCAGTGAACCGATTGGCTAAGTGAGACATATATTTGGGCCATTACATGCGACAGCAAAGAGCACAGGCTTTGCCAACAGTTATTCATTCACCAAACACTCCTGGAGCTCACTGTGGTCCAGGCATGGTGCCAAGGCATTGGATGAAAATGGTCAACAAGATGTGGTTCTGGCCCCCAGAGTGTGGCTCCCTGGAGGAAGGGACCCAGAAAGTTCTGTGGGCAGGGCTGGGGCACTGGGTAAAGGAGGAGGAGAGGGCCCAGGCCCCCACAGCCCCCTGCTCTAGGGATGGCCGTCTGCGGGGATCAGGTCAGCCAATGGGGACTGAACAGCTCCGGGCTTAGCCACAAACACAAGGTGGCACAGGAGGTCTGAGTACAGATGGGAAGGAGGCCTGCCCAGCCTCTCCTGCCCTACCATACCACCCTCTTCCCCAGTTCCCTGCTGTACACCCTGCCCTGAACAAGGACAGTCACACATCAGGGCTCTAATTGAAACCACTCTGCAGTCTGGGCCGGTTGCTCTCGCAATCCTAAAAGGACTAGTGGCTGCTGGCCTTCGTGCCGCCTTCCCATCTCCTCCCAGGAAGAAGTCTCTGCTGGGATTGTCCCAAGTCCCTGGGAAGGAGCACTGCGGGAAGCTTTTGGGGTCATGCGCGTGCAGGGAGGGGGTCGTCTGTCTCCAGGGTCCCTGCAGCAGGCCAGGCCACCTGTTACACCTTGCAAACCAGTGCTGCAGTGAGTTTGCTGGGTACCCATTTGCCTCTGGGGTGCTGGATTGAAAGTATCCCTTCCCCCACACACTATGAGCCCCGGGCAAGTAGAAATGCCTCAGCGGTCCTCGGTTCCCCCCTTTTCATAGGCTTCACCCAGGAGCAGTGGGGTGCACACAGGGCACATAGGGGTGCACACACACCACATAGGGCACACGCCACGTGCACCCAGGCAGGAGACGTGGCCCTGCGGTGGGGCTCCGGTGTTACCCGGAGTGGGAAGTGGGAACAGCGCGCCCTTGGCGGCCCACGCTCTGTTGTACTTTGTGTGTGTGTGTGTGTGTGTGTGTGTGTGTGTGTGTGTGTGTGTCTGTCTATGTTCCCTGAACCTTGACCTCGGGGGTGAGGAGGGGGTCTCCGCCATATCTTCGGGTTGGTGTGCTGGCACGCGAGCCGGGAGCTGGGGGGACAGGGCTTCCGGGAGAGGGCGACACTGGGGTGCGGCGGGCGGGCGGGGGAGCAGCCGGCGGGGCGGGTGGCAGCGCGGAGAGAGCCTTGGGCTTCCGGAGGTGGAGGTGCGGGTGGGGTGGGTGGGGTGGGGGCACTCAGGTGCTCTCTCTTTAAAAGGCCGGCGGAAGCGCCGCGCTCCCGGCCCGCACCGCCCCGCAAACTTGCGGCCCGGCTGCGCCTCCGCGCTCCCGGCCCGCACCGCCCCGCAAACTTGCGGCCCGGCTGCGCCTCCTCGGTGCGGCGCCGGCCCCTGCCGCCCGCGCCCCGCCCTCCCGCAGCCTCCCCTCGCGCGGCCGCCCCGCGCTGTCTCCGCTCGTCTCCCGCTCGCTCTCCGGCGCGCTCTCTCGGGCTCGCTCTCATTTTCTCCCTGCGCTGCCACTGCCGGGCGCCCGCCCTCGGCCGGCTGCTCCCGCGGGCGGCTCCAGTCCCGCTCCCTGCCGATCGGGAGCCCGTGGCCGGACCCCGCTCCCGGGCCGCCTGGCGCGCTCTCGGGTTCGGACGCGGGCTCCGCGGTGGCAGAGGGAGCGGGGCTCGCAGCCTCCCCGCTCGTTCTCGCCGGAGCAGTCGCCGATCGCTGCGCCGAGCGACCGCCAGCGCATCCCCGCGGCGTCCGGGACTCCGGGCGGCTCCTCGCGCGGCTCGGTCCGCAGCGTCAGCGCCGCCTGCCGCGGCCCGGGCTCCGGGCGCTGCGAGAAACGAGCACTCGGGCGCCGCCTCCCCGCACCCCCGAAACAGCGGGGCGCGCTGCCGACCCCTCACCGCGGTTGGAGCCCCGCGGCGCGCGGTGAGTTGTGGCCCCAGAGGCGCGGGAAAACGGGGCCGTGCCCTCCGGCCTCGGGCGCGGACTGCGGTGAGGACACCGGGGCTGGGGAGGTGGCTTCTGGCGGGCTCCCGCGCTCCGGGTGCCGGGACCAGGACGGGGACCAGGACGGGGACCCGGAGCCGTTGAGGCTAGAGGGCGCGGGACCCAGGCTGGGGGTCTCCCCTCGAGGCTGGGACCACCTCTCGGGATGGCCCTGAGGGAGGGAAAGGGCACCGCTTTTTTGGCTGTTTCTTTGCAGGTCGGGGGAAAGTAGTGTGCGCACAGGGTGGGTCGGGCTCGCCGTGGAGGGTCGTGCGGGCTCTCGGTGGGAGCAGGAGCATCAGGCGCCCCTCCGCGGAGAGCGGGGCCGGCGGGCGCGGGCGGTATCCGCACCCTTCTCCGCGGTCAGCCGGCCGGAGGCAGCGCCAGCCTCGCGCGCCTCGGCTGCTTCCTCGGGCGCCGCTCCGGGTCCGGTGGCCGCCCCAGCGCCGCCTTTGCCGCGGCCGGAGCCAGGCAGCCGCTGGCCCGCAGCCGCAGGCTTGGCCGGGGAGGCGCAGCGGGGCTGGGTCTCCCCGCGCCCTGAGACCCCTGGATCGGGCTCTCCTCCGGACTCTCGAAGACCGTGTCTCCCCGAGACCCCTCCGCTCCAGCCCCTCGCGCAGCCGGGCCGTGCGGCTCCGACTGTGTTGTGCACGCGCCGCGTGTGCTGGAGGGGGGAGGTCCCCGCGCGGGGTCGGTCTTCCCCGGCGCCCGCAGGCGGCAGGTGTCCCCTCCCCGCGCGGGGGCGGGGCCGGCAGCTGGGGACACGGACCCGAGAGGCGCCCCCGGGGCCCAGGGTCGCAGGCTGTTTGTCAAGAAATCAGACCGCGGCGGTGGCTGCGGCGGGGAGTCCTGATCCCCAACGTTCGAGCGCCCCCTGCCCCTAGGCCCCAAGCGACACCCCCGCCCTCAGAATGGCGTTCCCTTGCCATTCTCGCTGCTGGCCAGGGAGAAAACTGGCTTGGGGCCGCGGGCTGAGCTGGGCTTGCGGGAGCCGGGGTGCCCTGAACCCTGTCTGTCCGAGGGGTGGGCCCCCTGTCAGTGGCTAGAAGCTGGGGGTGATGGGGATGGGGCGTGTGTGTCCCTATCACAGCCCCCCCCAAGTCCATTCTGGTGTGTGGGACTCATGGGGCCTAGGCAGTGCCCATGAACCTCACACACAGCCCGCAGCCGGGTGCAAGAGGACCTTTCTGCCAGCACCTCCTCAGGGTCCCTGCTGCCCCCCATTCCCTGGCCTCTAGCTGGGCTTTCATGCAGACCCAGAGGGCTTCCATGAAGAGCTAGGGACTTGTGGGGACCCTCCTGGGGTGCAGAGAGCACCCCCGCAGAGTCCTGCGGTCTCCTGGGTAGGAGACCTGGGCAAGGGGAGGAGAGGAGGAGGCCTGATTTCTGTGGGCAGGGCTCAGGGCCCTTGTCCTTTCCCTGAGGGACCACTGCCTGGGGGCCTTGTTGGCCCTTGGGCAGAGTCCCATCGGTGGCACGGGGAGCTCTGTGGACTTGCTTATCCTTGGGATGGGCACGCCTGCCTGCTTGTTATTGAGGTAGCAATGGCCTCATCTTCCCCTGATTTTTGTCCTTTGGGATTTAAGCTTCCACCACCTGCCAACACCTTCATACTCGAAGGGACAGAGCACCCCAAGAAGCTACCTGTGCCCAGAGTTAGCAGTGCTTAAGCCCAAGGAAGGCTCAAGAGAAGTGGGGACAGGCTGCCTGGGGGGCCCAGGTGGGGGCATGAGGAGGAGAAGGAGGCAGAGATGTCAGGAGGGAGCCGCTTTCTGGTCTCAGTGGCCCAGTGTTGGCAGCCCCCCAACTCCAACCTGCATCGGAGCCCCTTCAGCTTTCCCTGCTGGAGGCCGGCCGTGTCTGGGAGGGAGCTAGCTGCAAGGGTCAGGGGCCCGGGCCCCTGCCCAGGCCTGGAAGGACCCTAAGGGGTCCGAAGCCCAGGCTTCAGGCTCCTGGCCACACCGCTGCTGGCACAGCTGGTGGGAAGCGACCAGGACAGAGGACTCCTGAACATCGTAATTATAGCCAATGGACGCATCCTCTCCCCTAGACAAGTGTGGAGCCGGCAGCCCCTAATTACCTTCTACCCCGAGGCATCTGTCCACCCCTGCTGTCCTCCTCTGCTAGGCCTGGAAGCCAGCTTTACAGTGGGCAGGCCCTGCTGGCATCCTGGACAGTGATCCGGGCCTGTGGGCTGCCGGCTGCAAGGTTACCTCACTTCTGCAGAGTGGCAGCGTCGCTGCCTCCTGCAGGCGGCCTAGGGGTAGCTGGCCTCTGGGCTCAGCCCTGCTCCTTGGGGCTGGCAGAGGGTGACCAGAGGAAGCGGGCCCAGGGGCTCGTCCAGTGGGTAGCAGGGCTGGAGTGGAGGACACCAGCTCTGTTGCTCCTGTTTTCAACTCTGCCCTGGTTAGCTGGGCCCATCGGCACACTGCCTTTGGCCTGTGTGGCATGGGCCGCTCTGTCCGGCCTCTGGGCGCCGCTCCGTCTGGCTGCTGTTGTCCTCCCAGGCTGGGCTGGTGACTCCTTGTTCCCTACCAGCTTCTTTTTTCCTGTGAGGCTGGAGTGTCCCACACGCTGGGGGTTTCTCCCTCTACCCCTGCCTGGTGCTCCAGCAGGGCCTGTAAAAGTGGAACTTACCTAGGAACAGCCAACTGGGGGCCTTGTCACTGGCCGCTACCACCCAGCCTGCTCAGCTTCTCCCTGTTTCACTTGGCTCCTTGGAAAAAATGAGCATCACAAGGGTCGTAAAAATTGCTCCTTAAATTAAAGCTGATGACGCCCATTGAAATGTTTTATTATGAACCTCACCGTGGAGCAATCTCACAACGGCAGTGAGGCATAAATATAAGAGTACACACGTATATTAAATAAATTGGGGAACTCGGCATATAATGACATTATCAGGACCCCATTCAATTAAGGTTGATATTATCTGCAGCAATTGGGAAATGACAGCCCGTAATGACAGCTCCAGGCTTTGGGGGCCTGGTGGCAGTATTCTAGTTATGCTACCGGCTCTGCCTGAGCAGGCACTGGCTGCTGGGCACTGTGGTCAGCTCAGGGTGACAGTTGTGAACAGGAGTCTGGGACACCTCAGCCGGCTGCTTCCCAGTGCTGGGGGGCCAGCCTGGGGACCAGAGCCACCATTCTGCTCTCTAGGGTGACAGAGGTCTCCTGGGACCTGCTTCCTGGCAGCACAGGACTTCTAGGAGAACGCTGTCCTTTCTGTGGGGACCTTTTTAGGTTTGCCTGTAGCAGTGACGATGAGGCAACCTGGATTCCGGAGCCGCTGCTTCTCAGTGCATGGCCCCAGAGTAGCCCAGGGAGGAGATTCTCACCCCAGTGTGTAGCTGTGCTGGGCAGGGAACTGGGTGGACACTGAAGCTAGGGAAGGGGCCATGTTGTTTGGAGCCGTGCTGGAGTTGGGGCCCTCTGGGTGAAGGAGAGGGACAGGAAGAGGGCGGAGAGGAGGCGGCATTGGTGGCAAAGCCCACAGTAGCGCCAGCTGCAAACAAAGACACCTGCCCATTGGGTCTGGTGCTGGAAAGCAAGGGGGGGGTGTGGGGCGGGCAGAGGGAGAGGCCAGTGCTTGCTCTGGGTTGGGCTGAGCCCATGGCTTGGAGGGCCAAGGGGACCTGCTGCTGCTGCTGCGGCTTATGCTGTTCTGGGGCATGGGATGCTTACAACCTGCAAGGTGGCTGCTGCCCCAGGCCTTGGCTTCCTCTTGGTGTGAGGCTCTGCCTGGTGGTTTGCTCCGAGGTCTCTGGAAGCCCTACATGGCCCCAGCCACACTGGCTCCTGGGTACTGCTTGGATTTGACCGGGGCCCTCTAGCTGCATCTCCTCTCCAGGCCTCTCCACTTCCTGTGCCCTCCAGCTATGCTGGCCTCTGGCTGGTCCTTAACCCTGAAGGCGAAGCCCATGCTGACCTCAGGGCCTTTGCACCTGCTGTCTTGAAACCCGGGTTGTGCCTCTCCCAGGTATCCTCAGGGTCTTTACTGCCTTTCCCTTGGCCAACTGTCACCTCCCCGGGGAGGCCTTCCCTGGCCAGCCTCTTCTCAAATGGCATTCTGGGTCTTTCCCAGAGGCAAAGGCACCTTTCTGCTTGTCTTCTTTCCTGGTCCCTGAAGAGCATCTCTCTGCTGTGCCCACCCCTCGCCGGGATGTCACTGCCACAGCATATGTCCCACCACGCACCGCCTGAGCTGGGCAGACTCAGGAGGTGCTGCACCATGTGATCAGGCAGAAGGAGGTGTCATCTACACTTGGGCCAGAGTTTGGTGCTAGGCCTGAACACTTGCGGTGGCCCAGAAGAGCCGCTCAGGCCCTCTGAGCTCCATCTCAGTGGGACGGCTGTGCTAGCACTATCTGGGGATCTGGCTCTGCCTGTCCTTTATAGCACACCTATGCTTGGTCCTTGGGCTACATGGGGTATGCAGGGCCCTGGCCACACAGACCCTTGCTGTTTTTTGTTTTTTTTTTTTTAATGTAGTTAATTCAGGGTCTCACTACACAGATCAGACTCATAGTGATCCTCCTGTTTTCAGCCTCCCAAGCGCTGGGATTACAGGCGTGCGCCACCACACCCAGTCTCAGTGTGCCCCGGGGTGGGGCTGGCACTGACACGGCATGCTGGGGATCGAACGCCGGTCCATGCTTCTGCCTAAGCAGGTGCTGTAATCCGCTAAGCAATCTGGCTGGCCCCCTTGCTGTATCTATAGGACATCAGTGTCAATTAACAGCCTGTAGGGGCCTGTGACATTGGCTGCAGGGGCAGGAGGTACCAGGAGTTGGGACAATCCTGGTAGGCTTCCTGGAGGAGGAAAACGTTCGGCTGCTACTTGAGAGACTAGGGGAGGCAGGGCCCTTGGTTTATAGTTTTCCTTTCCTTACTTTTCCCTGGCACTGTTTCTTCTTCCCTCCCTCCATCCCTCCTTCCACGCCTAATTCCTCTGCATTCCACCATGTGCCCAGGCAGAACAAGCCACCTCAGGGTCAGGCCTGGCTGGTGCGGAACGGGAGGGGTGGCTCCGGAGCTGGTCCAGGCTGGTGCGCAGGAGCAGCCCAGCTGAACAGACCCTGCTGCTGAGATTGGAAGGCACTTGCTGGTCACACTGCTGTGGCCGGGGCTGTGGTGGAGGATGAGGGTTTGGACATGACCTGCTTCCATAGGCCTGTCCTCTCTGTAAGAGGCGTCCAGCAGGGAGCTGCAGCCCTGCCAAGCCGAGGGGTCACAGGGCTGCAGGAGGAGGGACAGAGGGCTCTGGTTGCTTTCCATCTTCCCTTTTGGGGAACCTACCGCTTCCCGCTCAGCCAGGAAAGCTGGGACGTGAGTGATCCAGGGTCTAAATGCTCAGGCCTGGACCCACGCATCCAGTGCTCACATCCGGTCACCATCCTCGCTACCCGAACTGTCTGAACACTAGGGCCAGCGCAGGCATGAGGAGGTGAAGTGGGGGGTGGTCGTGGGAGAACGCAGCCTCCCTCCCTGGCCCTGGCGCGGGGATCAGAGTACAAGGTCAGTCTTGCGCCCTCTGCTTGCTATTCATTCTGGTGTTTGGGCTCAGTTCTATTTCGTTGGCTTTGGAAGAATAGGAAGCAGCTCCATGGAGAGTAATTGGAGGTTCAGTGCCTCCCGGTCGGCCTCGGCCGCTGGCTGTGCAGCTGGGGTTCATGGTTCTTCCTGGCTGGAGAAACACACACTGTGAGGCAGCTTCCCAGGGACCCCCGGGCTGACTGGTACAGGGCAGGGGAGCCTGCAGCTGCACCCAGCTCCCCTGTACCCCATTCACTGAACAGAATGTTCTGGAAAATGCATGGCCTGTGACCCGTGGCTTTGCAGCCCCCCTCCCCTAGGCCTGTCCCTGTGGCCTCCCATTCCTCCTGTCCTTCAGAGCAGGAAGAAGCAAGGGAAAGGGTGAGGGGAGGAGGAGAGAAAAGACAGCCGGGCCTGGTGTTGTGTTGGGGGGCTCCTGCTTGGTGCCCCAGGTTTTAGTTTATTTTGGAATCGGGGTGTCTGGGCCCCAGCCCACCCGCCCACTGTGCCCCAAGCCAGGCAGCGGCTGGAAAGGAGGCACGGGTGGCACCCGCCCCCAGCCGCCCTCAGCCTCTGCTCTCCCCGCTGCTTTCACTCGGGGTATTTTTACTTTTGCCTTGTTCCCAGTAGCGATCAAAGGCAGGCGAGAGGCTGAGGAAGGCCGCGGCTGGTGGGGCGCTTTGGAGGAGCTGGGGAAAGGCGGCCAGGCAGGAGTGTGGCTGGCTGGCGTGGGGTCTGACAGGGCAGCTGCCCCCTCGGGGCCCTTAATTCTAATCCTATGGATCTTGGCCTTTCTTGCAAGGCCTGTGTGCGTGCGTGTGCATGTGTGTGTGTGTGCGCAAGCACGCACACAGTGTGCATCTAGCTGTGGTCCAACCTGGAGCAGAAGCTAGTGTTGAGCCCCCATGAAGGTGCCAGGAGTCCAATGCCATGGTCCCCCCGCCCCCGCCCGGAGCCAGTCAGGTCTCCCTGCAGTGTGCAGCGCTGAGCCCAGGGAAGCGGCTGGGGCAGTCCTTGTTCCCAGGCTCTGTGTCACTCCTAAGTACCTGGGTCTTGACTTCTCTATCTGTCAAATGGCGTTAATTACACATAGCTCCTAAGTAAAGTGCTCTTGTGGTAGCAGGGCCACTGTAGGGTGGGGGTCATTAGCTGTCACCCCTGTGAGCGGCACAGGAGTTGGGATGCTTGTGTTTCTGCGCCCTGCTTGCACGTAGGTTATGTGTGACAACTAAAAATATGCGCGATGGGCAGGGTGGCCCTAGAAGGTTGTTTCTTGAGCCCGCCCGCTTTACAGAGCTGGCAGCTGAGGGCCAGGAGGGCTATGCTCTCTCCAGCACCAAGGCAGCGGCAGCACTGTGGCCTGCTGCTGGCTTCTCAACCGCCCCTTCCCTACTTGCATGGAGTTCAGCAGCTAGTGCCTTGTGCCCTCCCACAGCAACCAGGGGAGGAGTGTGATACCCCAGATTTTAACAGCTTAGGGGTGAGATGTGCCATGGGCTTCCTGAGTCCCCTCAGTGTCCCTGGCACTGGGATTGCTGGGTGACTCCAGGGCGTGTGTGATGTCTCTGGGCTCTGGCTCACCCACAGCATGGGCCAGGGGACGGGGCAGCTGTGTTCTTAGCCTGTGAGGAGCTCACGGAGGGGCATTTTGATGAGGGAGCTGGAAGTGAGGGGAGTCCCCAGGCCAGAGGTGGGCCCAGGAGTGGGACGGGCCTGGGCTGCTGTGTCTCTTTTCTGTCCCCTGGGCCAGGCAGGCAGGCTGTCTATCTGGTGCCCTGACGGAGGCTTCTCTTTCAGCTGTCTGGGGAAATCAAGGCACAGAACAGACAAGGGGTTTGCTGACTGCCACTGGACGAGCCTGTGGGGCAGGGGCTGTGGGTGGCTTCTAGCAGAGCCCTGACTCAGCTTCGAGCCTTCTTGTAGCCTCCTGAGAGCAGGGTGGGCAGGCAGTGAGGAGGAGACGGAGGAGGAGGAGCGGAGGGGATGGAAAGGGAGGAGGGGGAGGAGAGGCTGGAAGGAACCCCCAGGGGAAATTAACCCAAATTAGCAGTGCGGGTGAGGAAGAGCGGGTGTTTGCTCCTCTACCCTTGCAGATAAATATTTAATCACAACAATAATAATGATGATGGTCATAATAACGTGCAGCAGCTCAGGCTGTAACCCAAGCCCTTTCGTCAGATGGAGGAAGTGGGTAGGGAGGAGTGGTGACAGAGAAAGGACCGGAAGAAGCAGGTGGGGAGGCTGGCTGTGCTGTGGGGTCCTGGCCTGCCTGCCCAGCAGCCTCAGGGCTGCTTCTGATTTCTTTCTTTTTTGTATTTTAAGGAAGGGTCAACAGGGTGTTCAGGTTCTCAGTACTAGATTGGACTCGTAGTGATCCTCCTGTTTACAGCCTCCCAAGAGTTGGGATTACAGGTGCCCGTCACCATGCCCAGTCTCAATCGCCATCTCAGGGTGCCCCGGGGGTGGGGCCTGCATGGCAGGCCCAGGGATCGAGCCCCTGGCCCCTGTGCCTGCTTGCAGATGCTTTAATCTGCTGAGCTATTTGGCCGGCCCTTTGTTCTGATTTCTTCTCAGGGGGCCTTGAGAGCCTTCCCAGGGTGCCAGGGAGCTGGGCACTAGTGGGCACTCTGTAGCTCACCTTACTGTGTTCTTGGGCTTCAGTTTCCCTTTCTGTACAATGGATTGGGCGGGGGGGGGGGGCGGCGGGATGCGCTGGCTTCTTGCTCCCTGTGTGTGGCACTGGAGGAAGGCCCTGTTTCTCCCCACCTCAGCTGCTGTCCCTGAGGACGGCTCTCTGAGCTCCTGGCCTCTGAGGGCTGCGGGCACAGGCCCTGGGAGGTCTTGGAACATGACCTAATTTCTCCTCCAGCTCTCCCATTTCAACCAGAGGTTAGCTGTAGCCAGGGAGAAACCAGTAGAGATTTATGGAGTCTTTGGTGATAACCTCAGCGTCTCCCTCTCTCCTGGTGAGAGATCAGCATAGCTAATGTCTTCTCTGGGCTTGTGTGTGATGTTCTCTCTCTCTCTCCCTTTCTCAGGTTGGCAGGAGGGGAGGATCGGAGCTGTTTTCTCCTTGATGCCAAGCTTCACCAAGCTGGGAGCACTCTACCCTCTCCACCATTGTTGGCTGAGACCAGGCCTGCAGGACGAGTCGGGCTTGAGGGTCAGTGCGTTGCTGCAGTCCCGGCTGCTGGCTGCCTGCCGTCTTCGGGCCCGGACCTCGTGGGCCTCTGCGCTCTGCCCGAGAGCCCAGAAGGAACAGGGAGAGCCCTCGGTCATGGTTCATCCTGCTCCGCCGCCCTGCTGCTGAAGCCGCTCTGCGCATGCGCGTCCAGGCTGTGGGGCCGCGGGCCTGCCAGGCCTAGGAGCGTGGCCTGCGTTCATGGGTCTCTAGGTGCTTCCGAGATGCCCGGGAAGAGAGGCTGGGGCTGGCGGGGGGCACAGCTGCCCCTCTGCCTGCTTCTCAGTCTCTACTGCCCCTGGGTGCCTTCCTCCCTGGGCAAGCCCAAGGGCCACCCGCACATGAACTCCATCCGCATCGACGGGGACATCACACTGGGGGGCCTGTTTCCTGTGCATGGCCGCGGGGCGGAGGGCAAGGCCTGCGGGGAACTGAAGAAGGAGAAGGGCATCCACAGGCTGGAGGCCATGCTCTTTGCTCTGGATCGCATCAACAATGACCCGGACCTGCTGCCCAACATCACGCTGGGCGCCCGCATTCTGGACACCTGCTCCCGGGACACCCACGCCCTGGAGCAGTCCCTGACCTTTGTGCAGGCGCTCATCGAGAAGGACGGCACGGAGGTCCGCTGTGGCAGCGGTGGCCCCCCCATCATCACCAAGCCTGAGCGAGTGGTGGGTGTCATTGGCGCTTCCGGGAGCTCGGTCTCCATCATGGTGGCCAACATCCTCCGCCTCTTCAAGGTTAGTGCCGGGGCAGCCCCGCCAGCCACTTCAGCCTTCGGAGCCGGCGGCTCCCTTCTCTTCTCTTCCTGCCTCTGAGGAGAGTGTTCCTCCTAGCAGCCCCCTGGCTTCAGGGACCAGCCCCAGGGCAGCAACTGGGGCTCTGGCAACCCTTAGGGAGCCAGGGTCTTGGCATTGGCCGCGGTGCTGAAGCCGCTCCTCCCCAGGGGCCCGTGGGCCAGGAGGGAGAAGGGGACAGCAGGAAGACGCAGGCGGAGAGACAGATGAAAAGATAGACCGGAGGGTACACACAAGGGCAGGCAGATACCGAGATATGACGGAAATGGGAATGTTGGAGGTGGCCAGGGACAGAAAGGGAGACTTGTTTTGACATTGTTTTCAAACAGTTGCAATTCCCAGAAAGATGTTTTTCTTCTGGATCGTCCCTGGTGGCCCTCCTACCCGACCCGTGGTCACAGGCAGAGAACGTGTCCTCGATCTGGGCTGGGGTGTGGGGCTGTGTAGCCCGCAGAACATGCAGATGAGGCTAGCAGGCCCTGCACGGGTAGCAGGCTGCACTTCCGGGCCTGGGCCTGGTCTTGGGCCTGGGCCCCGCCTCCCCCCTCCCCCCTCCGGCCCCTTCCCGCCTCCCGCCCCCTGCCCCTCCTCCCAGCACAACTTTCTCCCCGCCTCTCAGCCCCGCCCTGCCCCCTCCTGCCGCCTCCCTGCTCTGCTGATTTGCAATTCAATTGAAGCCAAGTGCTTCGCTAAGCTGCTAAAACAACTGAAAGCTACTGGGTAGAGAGAAAAACATTACAAGCATTTTACCAATAATTCTGTGCCGCTTTCCTCTGTTCTAGCTGCCTGGTTTGCTCTGTGTGTTTGTGTGTGGGTGTGGGGGTTGGTGGTGGTGGTGGGGAGCACCGGACAGGAGGGAGGCGCTGGGTCCCTCCCTCACCCTGTGTCAGGGTCCTGACCTTCCACTGGGTCTCTTCTCCCCCGGGGCCCTAGAGTTGGCAGAGACCTGGGGACTGTCCACTTGGCACTGGGCTTGTGGGAGAGAGCTGAGGGCTGGTCCCTCTCACCTGTGACCCTTCTGGAACCCATTTATCTAACTCCCATGATGCTTTATCCATGTGGGTAGCTCTGGGGACAGTGAGAGGGTGTGCTGGGTGGAGAGGAGGTCGCTGAGCTGGGGAGAGGTGCAGGGGAGAGGGGCAGGATTGCAGAGGGCAGGAAAGGCAGGGAGGTGAGCTGTGGGCCGCAGGATCCTGGGTGCAGGACTTAGCATCGGGCAAGCCCCCACCACGTGCCCCCCCCCCAGCTGGCACTTAACCTTCGCGAGTGTCTCCCTGTGGCCTTATCCTGGGCTGTTGGTTTTGAGTATCTGCATAAAAACACGATATTAATTTTCAAACAAGTGGATGCATTGTGAAGAATGCCAAAAGTGTGCGTAGTTCTAGGATGAAGCCAGCGACTCAAAAGTTGGCCCCTGCCTGTGGGCAGGCAGAACCAGCTTGGGACCTGTGCTGTCTCCAGGTTCCTGCAGGGCAGCTGGGCACGGGTGGCTCTCACCCCTCCGGGCTGCAGGGAAACGGGCTGCATAGGCTGAGTCATCACTTCCTTGCAGGCCCCAGAGGGAAGGCAGCCCTGAGCTCCCTGTCACCCTGCCAGGTGTGGCAGGGACCCCAGCATCCTGAAGGCTATAGTGCAAGAGGGGCTGTCATCAGCCAGCAGACACTCCAAGAATCATCCTGTTAGGCTTTTGAAAACATGGGGGGTCTTGGGCAGTTAGTAGTTAGTGGTAGAAAAATTCAGGAACTTTTGTGCTGCGGTGGCTTCAGGTGACATAGGCAGCAGGGTGGGTATGGGCTAGAGGATCCCCCAGCCCGGCACCTGGCAGGTCTGGAGGTGGAGAAGGAATAGAGGGGGTGCAGGGACAGGGCGGGGCCAACAGCTGTGGCCTGCGTTCCCTGGAGCCCTTTCAGCAGTGCTAGCCCTCCAGGCTGGGGACAAGAGGCCTCTTCGGTAACTGAAACCTTGGGAGAGGCTGGGGTGAGAGACCCAGAAGCTGCTCCCAGAGGCCAGGGATTGAGCTCCAGTGTGTGGGAGTGGAGGGTGGGGCTGTGGGCCCTGCCCACGGAGGGCTGTCTTCAGCCCTGCTTCCGGTGCCCCAGTGGTGAGCGGGCCCAGGCCCAGGCCCTTGGGGCAGGAAGCCAGGTGGCTCAGGTCTCTGGGCTTTGTCCCTCTCTCCTTCATCCTCATCTCAGCCTGTTCTCCCAGGACAGGGAAGGGTGTGAGCAATTCCTCCCGAAGGGCTTCCGCACTTAGAGGAAGTGGCCCTCACGATACACAGAGAGGGGACAGCCCAGGCTCTGGAGCCAGTCCTTTGCACCCCAGCTGTAAGCGCAGCTGAGCACAAGAAGGCAAAGCACAGGACCCTAAGAGGAAGCTGTTTCCAACAGCTGGACCTGTGAGAGCTGACAGGAATCCAGAAATCACTTCTTTTCCAAAATCCCCAGTATATAT